GATTGTGTTGATGGGAACACGTCCAGGGAACATTGGACCTAGAGCAGATCGGAAAGCTATCAATTAGCTAGCAGCTAACCTTAGTGGCGTGTCGGCTGACCCAGTTGCGGAAGGGCCCGGTTCAGAACCTGTGCTCACTTTCACCTCAGGTAGTTTCTTTTTATTCAAGAATCACCACAAAAATAGGGTTATAACTGGGACTACAACATGTTCCTTAAAATAGATTTTTTTATTTATTTAAAGAAACTGATGCAATACGATTCAAACTAGTCAAAACAATAAAATAAAGAAGAGTTCTGAAAGACAAACGCTTACAGAAGGTGATTTTAAAACATGTAAAGCTTGCCGATCAAACTTTTTTACAAGGTTTTCCACTTTGTAGAGCATCAAATACACAATACGTGTGATTTTAGTCTAGATCAAGTAACAGGAAGTGTATAAGTTCACTGATGCAAACAGGAGCCTGATTACTTATAATGTCACAAACAAACAAACAAAACATGGTTTTGAATTAAAACTTGTATAAATAAGAAGCAGGTCTGAGGTGAGATGGGGTCTCGTGAGCAGCAGAGCTTTGGATCTCTACAAAACAGGAAGGAAGACTTGGGTTACACAGAAATAAAGAGAATAGTTGTTATTGTAATGACAGCAACGCATTAATTCCTGTTTTGAATAGAGAATCTAACGGTGTGTTATTCAATACGCACCTGTGCTTCTTAGGTGAAGATATCTAAACAGTAACATTTGTCAAATACGTCTTTGTGGACAAAAATGACTTGGATAAGTTATTCTTAGTTTGCCTTTCTTAACCAAAGGGTCAGAGGACGGAGGATTTGATGCAATTCTCAAAATATCAGTGTTACTGTGATCCAGCTGAATAAAATAAAAGATGTATCCAATGTGAACCAAACAATTGTGTACTTTCACCGAGGTTAAATGTAAGATCAAGGAGTTTGTCACCTTAAAAGTTGAAACAAATGGGTCAAAGAAAGCAGAACCAAATAAAACGGGTTCAAGTGGAGACCCCTGAGGCAACCCACACTTTAATTTAGACCAGTAGGTAAAACTAGAACTACACCAGGAATCTGAATTCATTTTTATAATGTGTTGGTGTGAGCAGTAGTGTCAAAGATAACGGACAAATCTAGAATAACTAAAACTTTTTACACGTTGTCTGTAGAAATCTTTAATAGCCTATTTAGGTGCAGTGTTTCTGATGGACTGTCATTTTCTTTTACTGCTCATATACGTTTCAAAAAATCCTTGATATGAAGGTAGTTTAGAAGTGAACCCACTTATAAAGTCAGATCTAGATCGGATTTCTTGAACGGGTTTAACAGAGGCCACATAAAAATCTGGAACAATGCCCTGTAGAGGGCTATAACCTGGTAAATAAAAACAAGCTGTTTACTTAAAAAGAACAACAAACTCTCTCTTTGCCTTCTCTAATCCTGTTTTTCTTCTGTTTCCTTGCAGCCTAGAAAATGGATAAGAACGACCTGGTACAGAAGGCCAAGCTTGCTGAGCAGGCAGAGCGTTACGACGACATGGCTGCAGCCATGAAGGCTGTGACAGAGCAGGGGGCAGAGCTGTCAAACGAGGAGCGCAACCTTCTCTCCGTTGCCTACAAGAACGTGGTCGGAGCGCGTCGCTCATCCTGGCGCGTCATTTCCAGCATCGAGCAGAAGACCGAAGGCAACGACAAAAAACAGCAGATGTCCCGTGAATACCGGGAAAAGATAGAAACTGAACTGCAGGAAATCTGCCACGATGTGCTCGTAAGACCATTTATCGTTACTTTGTGATTCCTCAAGACGATCTGAAGTTGTAGAGTTGTCGAGGGAGTGGCGGTTTGCAGAGCTGCAGTTTTCTCACCAAACTAACACGCGTGTTGTTGTTTTCAGGGGCTACTGGACAACTTCCTCATTGCCAACGCGTCTGCTGCTGAAAGCAAAGTGTTCTACCTGAAAATGAAAGGCGACTATTATAGATACCTTTCTGAAGTTGCATCTGGAGACGCCAAGAAGAGTGAGAACACCTTCGATTAAATAAATGCCAAAATAAATCCCCTAACCTTTTTAATAAAATAAATGTTCGGTGTGAAAATCCTGAAAGTGGTTCAAGTAATCCAGTTTAATTTTTTTTTTTTAAATAAGAATGGAAATGAGCTTCCCACCACTGTTTTCATGCTTTTGGTTGTAATTCAAATGAAAGCTAGTCGGAAACTGTAACATGCAGCGTCTAAACATCTGGATTCTTAAGGCGTGCAATGAAAGCAGATTTCAAAGGCACAGTTTAAACTTCAACTAGATGTTTTTATTTTCTGCCCGATGAACATCTGCTTGCAAACAAGTTGATCCAGACTGATCAGCGTGTTGCTTCGCCGCCGTCGTGTGGCACAAATCAAAGTGTTGGTTTTGTCTTCTTGTGTCCATACAGTGACAGTGGATCATTCCCAGGAAGCGTACCAGCAAGCTTTTGACATTAGCAAGGGGGAGATGCAGCCAACGCACCCCATAAGGCTTGGCCTGGCCCTCAACTTCTCAGTGTTCTTTTATGAAATCCTCAACAACCCGGACAAGGCCTGCAGCCTGGCTAAGACGGTATGAATGGAGAGTACAGGCGGCCGTCGGAGTCGCCTTGCAGAGTATTTCTACAAGTTACGCAGAACAGGAGTAGAGGAGTCGTTCTGAGTACAACCGTGTTTAAAGAGTGATGGTTTGTTGAGGCGGAGCTGTTCTCTCTCTCCTTGCAGGCATTTGATGAAGCAATTGCTGAACTTGACACTTTGAACGAAGATTCCTACAAAGACAGCACCCTGATCATGCAGCTACTAAGGGACAACCTGACTGTGAGCGCCATGCTTCTCGTTGTTCGAGACCAGTTTCTCCTTTTTCAGTCGTATTTATGAAAAATTTCAGGAAGTCGTAACAGTCGTTTTCTCCCCCCCCCCCCCCCCCCCCTCTTTCCCCAGCTGTGGACATCGGAGAACCAGGCAGATGAGGGAGAGACTGGAGACGGGGAAAACTAATGGAATTGCACTGTTAATCCACCTACACTCTTATCTTAAACACAGACAGCTTATATACATCCCCCCCCCCCCCCTCCACTCCATCAGCCCCTCCCACTTCTGTATGACAAGCAGCCTGAATTGCTCCTGACCAACTAGTTTACCCCTCTCAGTTCACTGTGAGGCGACAGGGTAATTTTCAGTTGTTAGCAGATTCAGTCACTTTGTGGAAACATGTCGTATTGATTAGTGAGTCCATGTTGCTGTTGTTTTTGTCAGCTTTGTGTGTAGGCGCGTGTGTAGCGAGTGAGCCATGTGCGAGTGGATGTGTAAGATTGTGTTCTGGGTGGGGGTGGGTGGGGAGGGAGGGGTGTTGTGAATCCTAATCGTCCTTCCAAGTTCCTTTGTCCCAGTTAGTTCGGTGTGCATTTGTCATTCCCTCTCCCTCCTCGGTTATTTTTCTTACTTTGTGGTTCCTCATGATATTTACAGGTTTTATTGTATGGTAATTGAAACAGGCAGTTGATTTCCACCAAACACTGTGATGGTAGGCTTTCCATTCGCTTCACGACCCCACAACAGTTTTTGTATTTGAGTTTCCAGGCGCGTCCAATCCCGTATTCAGTTAACTGCGATTCTGCTGTGGGCTCATACAGAAACGGAGGCAGGCTGTATTGTGACACTGACATCTTGGCGTAGTGCTCCTTCAACCATGTTCACGAAGTCCGTTTAAAGTTCGATGGGACCCCCTAAATGATCATGTTAGGTTTGCTCAGACGTGAAGACATTCCACATTATTAGGCTTCTGGAAACAGCAGTGCTCCTTATTGTTTTATTTTCAACTAACTATAGATCGTCATTGTAGTTTTCTCACTGTTCTGGTGCTGCTTGATCTCAGTACAACGAAAATCGTACGCGTAAATGTGGTTTCCATGTGTTTTGCAAGATTTGACTATCATCTGTATGTAAAACCTAAAGTAACCTTTTATTGATGTTAACTGAAAATGTCTTGCCACACTGTATCAACCCTGCTTGCAAAATAATTCCTGTTAAAACGGTTTTCTTCGAGACGATTTTGTGCCTGGCTTTCTCTTGCATTTTCCTTTTTAGGTAAATTTTTTTAGGTATCTGCTTGTTTGAAATCTCCGATTGATTTGAGAGCACGAATGATAAATCTCGAGTCTTATTTGTGCCCAGGTGTACTTGGCTGTTAAATATAGCTGGTGAGAATCCCTCAAACACAATCAGGTATGTTTTAGAAGGTGAAGAAGAAGCTCAGTGTCACAATACCACGTATCACCACTACATTCCACATTACTGTAGTTGAAGACACCATTCCACGTTTTAGCTGGCGGTCTGTTTACTCTGACATTGCTCCAATTAATTAAAATCTTTTGTTGGAAAAAATATATAAAAAAAAATAAGTCGGTTCATTATTATGCTTGATGAAAATGCAGTTAGTGAATGTGGAACGAAGCCTGTCTGTATATCAGGTATTTACTTGCTTTGTTTTTACTGACAAGTCTTATGGCTTAAAATTTGCTTCTGTAACAGTCTATTATTACCCAGTGCACACACGTGGTTGTGAAAATTTAGATTAGCTATAAAAAGCAGTGACGACATGGAGATAAACAATGGTTGGTGTAATTCTAGCTTTGTGTTTATGTATCTTAAAACCATTCTAGTTTCACTATACATGTAAGAAATAGGAAAGTGTCAAAGACCATTCAGTGAAATAAAGTTTCGTTTAAGATAAGAGGCAAATTACGTCTTCATTTCTGTTCACATTAACCCCTGGAGTTGGATCATGACCCCAGTGAACCATCTGAACGCTACTTTCACTCATTCTGGCGTGTTTTCGATCATAAAGCGACTGAGATAAACATGCTGATGTAAGAACTATTTTCTTTCGCGGAGCGAGACGTCCGTTTGAGCCAAGCCTCTTCACAGCCTAATTAAAACCCCGTTGTGCGGAGAAGATGCCATTGACGGTCACGCACGACACGCAGGTGTTCCACGGTGTTAATTAAATCTAAACAGCCCCACGCGCCTGTGGAAAGTGCTCACGAGCTGCTGCACTGAAAAGACCCACGCTCTCGCATTAAATGTAAGTTGGTTCAGTCGGTTTGCTCTTGTCCTGTAGTGTGAACAGCAACTTTTCCTTTCGTGCAGCTGTTTATTTTTATATTTTAATATTTTAAACGTCGCATTCACACCACACAAGTGTCCTTTCATCTTTTTTTAAAATTTAAATGATGTATAAAGGCTTCTGTAATAGAAATTGTTGCATAAAACGTGCTAGATAAAATTTGAGGCTTGTCTTTAAGATTGCGGCTAATTGTATTTATTGCTTTTAAGCTAGTTTGTCTTAAGTGTGCGCCATTTTATGCGTAGTTTAAAATAAAAGTTACAACGAAGCTGTTCACAAAAACTTTATGTTTAAACATGTTTTGGATTCAAATGTGCAGATTTATGTACTTATGAAAGCTAACTATTAGCCTTGAAGCGCTTTGTTCCTGTCAGGTCGAACAATGTGCTTAGTATTTTTTGTTTAGTTTGAAACAAAGGCTGCCAGTGGGAGTAAAAAATATATTTTAGAATTTTTTTTGGCCTCAATTCTTTAATCTAGTAGTGAATTTTCTTTTTGTTACAAATACCATTTCTCTTGAAATATTTATATGCATTTTATCTTAATTTTTAACATTTAAAGGTTTATTAAGATCTTCCTGTTAAATTTTAAAACCTGAATCATATTTTTAGGATTGTCCCTTTTTACAGTTATTAATGCGCATGCGTAAAATAGGCCCCGCACGCTCCCAGTATGTTCCGGGATTCAGCGTGCAACTCTTGTCTTTTGGGCCTAATTACCTCTGCACGTTTTATTGATTTTAATATACAAACATAATTATAAATGTGTGTTATTGGTATTTTACGTTTTGAGAGCTGTATGACTGAAAGACTTCAGTGCACAGCTGAAACTTTAGTAGATTTGAACACTTTAAACTGGAATGCAGTTCAACAACCGGAAGCAGGCATGAATATATTAACACTGCATTGCAAAATACTGACTTTGAACATGCACATGCCTTTCTTTGTCATTCACATGAAAGGATGTAGTTTTAGTTAAAAGATCAATGTCAGTTGTAATGACACAATAAAAAGGTAAACAATATAATCAAAACCCACACATTGTTTTGTTGTTGTTGTTTTGATCCAGCTGTTTACGCAAGATGAACGGCAGTGGACCAGCGTATCCCCTGGCCTCTTTATATGTTGGGGACCTACACCCAGATGTTACAGAGGCCATGCTTTATCAAAAGTTTTCTCCTGCTGGACCCATCATGTCTATCCGTGTGTGCCGAGACATCATCACTCGCAGATCCCTGGGATATGCCTACATAAACTTTCAGCAACCAGCTGATGGTACAGCAGCACTGTTGCACTTAATGCTTAAAACTTCATACTTCTTGCATGGACAAAGTACTAAACTGTTATAGTTGCTTGTTAAAAGATGGATGTGTTTACTTGGCAGTTGCCAAACTGAGCAATTTAGCCAGAATGTAAGTACAGGAATTGTCAGAGAAATAGTCTTTTTTTTTTTTTTTTTTTTTTTTTTT